GAGTCTGAGGGACAGGTAGGTCTCTGTCTCAGGGTCAGGTAGGTCCAAAGTCTGAGGGACAGGTAGGTCCTGGGTCTGAGGGACAGGTAGGTCCTGGGTCTGAGGTACAGGTTGGTCCTGGGTCTGAGGGACAGGTAGGTCCTGGGTCTGAGGGACAGGTAGGTCCTGAGTCTGAGGTACAGGTTGGTCCTGAGTCTGAGGGACAGGTTGGTCCTGAGTCTGAGGGACAGGTAGGTCCTGGGTCTGAGGGACAGGTAGGTCCTGGGTCTGAGGTACAGGTTGGTCCTGGGTCTGAGGGACAGGTAGGTCCTGAGTCTGAGGTACAGGTTGGTCCTGAGTCTGAGGGACAGGTTGGTCCTGTCTCAGGGACAGGTAGGTCTCTGTCTCAGGGTCAGGTAGGTCCTGGGTCTGAGGGACAGGTAGGTCCTGTCTCCATGGTAACAGACATTAAGGAATCTTGACCTTTGACCTTGTCAGGTGAGGTTAAACCTGATTTTCCTTCAGGATGATCCTCGTTAACAACAAACAAGATGGCCCCTGAGGCCACGCCCACTCGCTGCAGAACACACTGCCACTGGCCATGGTAGCGAAGAGGGCGGGGCTTCTTCAAATTCAGAGATGGATGAGGACATTCTGGACGAACTCCATCTGGGGGCGGAGCTTGAGATGACAGGTAAGGTTAGGTTTAGTCCTACCGAACATCAGAACTTCTTCAGTTTTTATTTATCGTTCGTTTTATTTTTTGCTCTTTATTTATGAACTGTTAAAAGGTTTTCAATCAGCTTTGCTTGTTCAGCAGAACTAACAGAACATCCTGAGGGGGCGGAGCTCCATCCAAACCGTAAACCAATCAGGAAAGATGCGGTGGTTACCTGGAAGCAGGAGGAGGAGGGCTGGAGGCGGAAGTTCCCTGACATCAAGGAGTGCGTCATCGTTGTCGTCCGTCTTTCGTCCAGTCAGCTGAAGACGATGGAGGGCAGGAGGCGGAGCAAGAGGATCAGGTCACGTGACCCGTGGCCAGAGGGGGACTGGATGCAGCCGCTGGAGCTGAACGGCATCGGCACTTCAACCAGTTTCGTGAAGAAGCTGGAGGTGAAGTTTCAGTCTGAGCTCGACTCTGCAGACTGGCCCTGGAAACCCCAGAGGAGTCTGAAGCTGACGCGCTGTCCTTCTGTTTCCCCTGGCTCCGCCCACCGCCATCCACACATCAACAACACAAACAACGAGGACTTCAACCACGAGCAGAAACCAGCTGACCACAACTACTGCCTCCACATGGAAACACCAAGCTCACCTGAGTTCAGCAGCCAATCACAAGACAGCAGGTAAGAGAGGGAGGAGCTAATCAGGTAGAATACAGCTAAGATAAACTAAACTGAGCTAAAGTAAGTCACACTAAGCTAAGTTAACTAACTAATGTGGCTAAACTAAGTAAGCTAAGCCAAAATAACTAATAGCTAAATTAACAAAATGTTCTAAGCTAAGCTAAAATAACAAATTAAACATAGCTAAACTAATTAAACTAAGCTAAACTAAACTAAGCCAAACTAACGTAGCTAAACTAAGAAAGCTAAGCTAAATTACACTAAGCTAAACTAAATAAGCTAAGCTAAATTTCCTAACTTAGCTAAACTCAACCCTTGAACCTGCTGGTGGACACCAGCGATGAGGGATGCTGTCAGGCTGAAGAAGGAGTCCTATCAGGTCTTTTTGGCCTGTGGGACTCTGGAAGCAGCTGATAGGTATCGACAGTCCAAGTGGATTGCAGCTCAGGTGGTCGCTGAGGCAAAAACTTGGATGTTGGAGGATTTCAGAGAGGCCATGGAAAACGACTTCCATATGGCTTCGAGGTGATTCTGGTCCACCATCCAGCGTCTCGGGGTGGGAAAGTGGTTCACCACCAACACTGTTTTTGGTGGGGATGGTGCTCTGCTGACCTCAACTCAGGATGTTGTGGGTCGGTGGGCAGAATACTTCAAAGACCTCCTCAATCCCACCGACACATCTTCCCATGAGGAAGCAGAGCCTGAGGACCCTGGGTCTGACTCTCCAATCTCTGGTGCTGAGGTCACCGAGGTGGATTGGCAGACCGGGGTGGTGGTCCTCCTGTTTAAAAATGGGGCCCGCAGAGTGTGTTCCAACTGTAGGGGATCACACTACTGAGCCTCCCTGGTAAGGTCTATTCAGGGGTCCTGGAGAGGAGGGTCCATCAGATAGTCGAATCTCAGATTCAGGAAGAGCAGTGTGGTTTTGGTCCTGGTCCTGGAAAACTGGACCAGTTTTACACCCTCAGCAGGTTCCTGGAGGGGTCATGGGAGTCCAACCAGTCTACATGTGTTTTGTGGACTTGGAGAAGAAGTTCAGCCATGTACCTCAGGGACTCCTGTTGGTTGTGGTGGTGGTGGGGAGGGGGGGTACTCTGGGAGTATGGGCCCATTGATACAGGCTGTTAGGTCCCTGTAGGACCGGTGCCAGAGTTTGGTTCACATTGCTTGTAGTAAGATGGGCTCATTTCAGGTGAGAGTTGGACTCCACCAAGGTTGTCCTTTGTCACCGATTCTGTTCATAACTTTTCTGGACAGAATTTCTA